GGGAAACTCCTCTAGGACTCCAAGAGGATGGAGCATCTGAGCTCTTTCCCTGCCTGGCTCTGGCTCCACGGGGTGTGGGTCACTGAGCACAGGGCAGCCTTTCCCCAGGAGCAATCAGTGCTGCAGCCTGGGCTGGGAGCAGGGCTCAGATCCTTTCAGCCCTTGCTCATTTGTTTGATGATGATGATGATGATGATGATGATGATGATGATGAGCTAGCTGGTTCCCATAAACATACCCTGGGAATAACAGTGTTTGCATACAGGGGTTCTGTTATGACTTCTAGCTGGGTTCAAGGACTTCTGTCAGCTTGGCTTCATAAATAACACGAGATTCCTTTCTCACCAGTGTGCTGTGCAAGCAGCACATACACCTTGTGCTGAGGTACATATTGATTTCCACTCCAAAGCTCTGGAAATATGACATGATTCTGAAATAATCCAGATACTGATCAAGCTGTGCTTATTAGCAAAGTGTTCCACAACATTGGAGGAACTTTTGCTGTTTAACTTGGGAATAGATCCCTTGACACAATAGATCATTTGCTATTTAACCTGGGAATAGATCATTTGACACAACAGATCATTTGCTATTTAACCTGGGAATAGATCATTTGAGACAATAGATCATTTGCTATTTAACTTGGCAATAGATCACTTGACACAATAGATCATTTGCTATTTAGCCTGGGAATAGATCACTTGACACAATGGATCATTTGCTATTTAACCTGGGAATAGATCACTTGACACAATAGATCATTTGCTATTTAGCCTGGGAATAGATATTTGACACAATGGATCATTTGCTATTTAGCCTGGGAATAGATATTTGACACAATGGATCATTTGCTATTTAACCTGGGAATAGATCACTTGACACAATAGATCATTTGCTATTTAACCTGGGAATAGATCATTTGACACAAGAAACACTTGGAATCACTGACACCACCCTGAGCAGAGCTCCCTGGCAAGCACAGGAAGGAGATCACAGGAAATCCTGTAGTTTTGCTTGTTTTACCTCCCAGACTCCACCCTGTTTTTAGATTGTGGGAAATCCCAAATTACACACCACAGACAACAGGCTCAGACTGCTGCCAATGAACTTCCACTTAGAGTCAATCACACCCAGGGCAGAAAGTTGGTGCCTGTCCAATTTTATCCTCACACAGCTGCAGCACTGCACTCCCAACATCATGGGAATAACAGGATTTCTTTCCTGATTGTACTTCAGATTAAGAGGGAATAAAGGGTAAATACCCACTGCAAAAGGTATTGGGGTAAATCTCTGGCAGCAGAAAACTCATGGGTGGATCAGGTAATGATTCAGAACAAGTTTTCCAAAGCATATTTTAATTGTCATTTGTCTTAAGAGGGCAGAAAGGTGGGACACAAGTGATCAGCACAGAGCAGACCCTGAAGGAACAAGAGGAGTTCCTTGGTGGTGTCTTACAGGTATTCAGTAATAATCAAGTTTTTCCTTGTCTACACAAAAAAAAAGTGAGCAGCATCTGGAAACCAGCATGGATAGATGAGAGATATATTCTGCAGGGGAAATTCTGATTCAGTCTCCCTGGGCATAACTGAAATTATTGATGCATGTAAAGATATTATTTTCACTGGATGAGATTTATACCTGTTGTAAGTTAGGCTAGTGCTGCATAACCCTGGGATCTGGTTCTGTTTGTTATCCTAGATGTCATTACACTTTAATTAATGTTTCCTGGCACATATCTCAAGCACATTTAGCTGGAATTCACAATTAGTGAATAAATTGCTTTTTTACTGCTCCATCCCTGGAAGTATCCAAGGCCAGGTTGGACAGGGCTTGGAGCAACCTGGTTTAAGGGTTTAAGATGGGTTTAAGGTCCCTTTTACCCAAACCATTCTGGGATTCTGTGAGTGGAAAACAGAAACCAGGAGGGTTCCCCTGGGCTCTTGTTTCCTCTGAGGGAACTGGGTTAACTGCACTCAGTACTGCTCTTCTTCTCTTTTATCATGAACTAACTTTTTTTTTTTTTTCCTTCTTTAAAGAGAATTTAACAGAAATATCCTAAAATGAGCAATCTCACTGTAACGCCATAAACTCCAGCACATAAGAGAACATGGAAAATAAGCCACTCTCTTATACACCAGAGTGGGATAATCAAAAGGAAGCTTGAATTTTTTTACTATCTCTGGTGGTAGAGGAGTTCGAAACAACTCCTTTGCTTCTTTGAGGTAGTTTATAAATCTAAGAAACCACTCAATATTTCAGGCAGCAGGCTCAGTATGTATCTTTTTACACACAAAATATTGTTTCATTCATTGTTGAGCCAAATGCTCATTTCATGCAGAAGATCAATACCAGGCACTCATTTTATTACATTTATATCATAGGTTGTAGAATTTCTGCCGGAGGCAAGTTCCATAAATCCTGATAAATTCTTGCATTGCTGAAAAGTAAATCTGCAGGATGAATAAAGTATAAAGAGTTACATACTCACTGCTGGGCCTGTCATAACTGTTCTCCCATCAAAGTCAGTGACAGGTTGAGTACAGATTGATGTCAGATGGGTTGGTTGAAAAAGCCCTCCCAAAATATGCTGTGGTCACTTCTAAATAAAACCTCATCTTCCCCTCTTGCTCACAGTCATCACCACCCCAGCTTGGAGCTTTTAGGGCTCCCACACCACCATGAGCAAAACTGCAGCAGGAGGAGAAGGAGCTCAGTGGAAATTTGACTCAAAGATCTGGGAATAAACCCCCAGAATTCCAGTCCAGTTAATGGTGAGGTCGAGGGAGGGAGTTTGTTGTGGTTTGTGTTGGCAGGTGCTGAGCACTAGAATATCCAAATGTGACTGGCTTGTTCAGAAAGAGGAATCCTGCAGAAGTTGTGGTGGCACAGAGATTTCTTTATCTGCCATTTAGGCAAAAAAAGGCTTGCATGGATCAGGGTATTTGGGCTGTACTGAAAGTAACTAATGGGAATGGGGTGGCAAAAAAAAATTTGAAATCTCCCACTGACACAGGAGCATCAGTGTTTTGGTGAGAACAGAGCTTTGAAGTCAGTGTGTGTTCTGCCTGTTCTTTGGACAACAGTTCTGAGAGCAGCATAAAACACTGAGCTGTAAAAATCCTCAAAACTACTGGGAGAAACAGAAATTGGCTTTGGTGATTGATATTTCCTCCCCCACCCCCTCTTATTTCAGTATTTGCTGCTTTTGAACAGGGCATTCAAAAGGATGAAGAATGTTGGAAGAGACTGACATTAGAGAGGGATATTCTATATAAATCAAGTCAGGTGCATTCCATAATATATACAAATGTTCCTAATATATAAAACATTCACATGCAAACTCTTGGGATGAAATCCATCTCCCCATGTGAAGGCAATGAGCATGTTCTCATTATGCTGACAGCATAAATTGCCTTCACTCAGTAAATACAAATTTCCATAGGGAATACTGAAGTTACTGAGGGTGGCAAGAATTAAAAATCTCCCAAACAGTCTCTACATTGCTACACCTTGAAATTTCATGCTCACTTCAAAAGACAGCCTACATCTTAATGGTTAAACCTTCCAGGTTTAACAAACCAGCAAGTTTTAACCAGCTTAAACAAAATTTCTTCTGTTTTCTAAGGAAGGAATAGGGAAAACCCCACGATGATCTGAGAGCAATGTCACCTGCAAATGTCTAAAGGCAAATAAATAACAGATGTACTGGAAATTCAGCCCAGCTAACAAAAAATTAAACAAATCTTGATGGGAGCAATGAATAATTCAGAGGCCCCATCACTGGGGTGACCAGAGGCAGGTTTTGTGCAGAGTCCAGGCTGCACTGTACAAATAATTCAGGGTTCAGAGAGAGTAAGCACTGCACAACACAAGTGCTGATTGCAGGCAATCTCATCAAGCCCAGTCAGCAGCTCTGCAAACATCAATGTGCTCCAGCCCTGACTGCAAATGGAGCCACAGCCTGACCCTGCATGCAGAGCCCTGGCAGGGCTGATGGAGCTTCTGTGGTGTTTCATTTTAGGGGTAAAATATGGACTCAGCAGCTTACTGTGCAGAAAGGAGAAATCCTCAAATGGTGCTACAGAGCTAAATTGTTCTGAGGGCTGGGCAGGGTAAAACTCAGTCCTGAGGGGGAACCTCTGCTGGCCAATTTTGTAACACAGAAAGACTTGTTACTCCCAAGTGCAGCAGAAAGTGGGAAATATTGAGTGTTGTAAAAAGTCTGCCGTGACTCCATTTTCTTCATGTGGGAAAAGCCAATATTTCATTCACACAACTCATTTTATACAGTTTTCACAGACCTCGTGGGCAACTTTAATTTGTAATTTGATAACCTTCTTGTCAATTACTGTATTGGTTAGTAAAAGGTATTTTACTTGTCCATCAAATCTCTCTATTCTTGAATTGTCTACATATTTTGTTCACTGATTCTCATGGGACAGATTTTATTGTTTATACAGGTGCACTTGTTTTTCACCCTAGAAATAGATTGTTGTGCTAATGAACTCTCATTTTCAAGATGTTTTCACATGAGAACTTGCAAAGTACTTAGCTGCATTTAGAAGTGACAGGCCAGCTATTAATTTAATAGAGCAGGCTATTTATATATGATTTTATGAGGCCTTTCTTTTATAATTTTTCTACCTGTCTGTGACATTCAGGACTTACAGCCTGCATGCCAGGACTTTATACATAGGTGGGTTTCATTCTAGTAGTTGGAAGAAGCAACAGGGTAAAATGAGGCAGGTAGACCTCATGGCCTACCTGACCAATGAGGCCTGACTATGACCAGAGAGGCAAATGAGCTGTTTGTTCAGCTATTTTGTGTGCTCAGTATTCTCTGTGGAACTGAAGGACAGCTGCCACACTACCTGTGAGCTGGTTTTGTTTATCTCTGCTGCCAGTGACTCAGGCAGATCCATATTGCCTCTCCCTCAGCGTTTTTGGATGCTGGTTCACAGACTGTTCTTTTGTTTATTTCCCTCTCTGCTTTGTGGCAGGGTGAGTGTTCCCAGAAGTGCTATTACATCTTCGTCATCGAGACCATCTGCGTGGCTTGGTTCTCCCTGGAGTTCTGCCTCCGCTTCATCCAGGCCAGGAGCAAGTGTCAGTTCTTCAAAGGACCCCTGAACATCATCGACTTCTTGGCCATTTCCCCTTACTACGCCTCCCTCATCTTCTCCGAGGACGACTCCAGCGAGGAGGAGGACAGGCCGAGCAGCAACACGTACCTGGAGAAGGTGGGCTTGGTGCTACGGGTTTTACGTGCCTTGAGGATCCTGTACGTCATGCGCCTTGCCCGCCACTCGCTGGGCCTGCAGACCCTGGGCCTCACCGTGCGCAAGTGCACGCGGGAGTTCGGGCTGCTGCTGCTCTTCCTGTGCGTGGCCGTCACCCTCTTCTCCCCCCTGGTGTACCTGGCTGAGAACGAGTCGGGCAGAGTGCTGGAATTCACCAGCATCCCCGCCTCCTACTGGTGGGCCATCATCTCCATGACCACCGTGGGCTACGGGGACATGGTGCCGCGGAGCGTGCCGGGCCAGATGGTGGCTCTGAGCAGCATCCTCAGCGGGATCCTCATCATGTCCTTCCCCGCCACCTCGATATTCCACACCTTCTCCCACTCCTACTCCGAGCTGCGCAAGGAGCACGAGCGGATGCAGTCGCGGCTGAGCCGAGCCAAGAGCGCCAACCACGCCGGGGAAAGCGACACCTTCAACGAGACGGACAGCCTGATCCTGGAGGGGCAGGCCTCCCCCATCAAATACATCTACACGGGGAACTGAGCCTGGAACCACTTCAAATACATCTGCACAGGGACCTACCTGGGCCTGGAGATCCCATCAAATACATCTACGTGGGGACCTGGGCCTGGAGAACCCATCAAACACATTGACATGGGGACCTGGGCCTGGGGACCCTATCAAATACATCTACGTGGGGACCTACCTGGGCCTGGAGATCCCATCAAATGGGGGCCTACCTGGAGATCCCATCAAATACATCTACATGGGGACCTGGGCCTGGAGATCCCATAAAATACATCTACATGGGGACCTGGGCCTGGAGATCCCATCAAACACATCTACACAGGGAACTGAGCCTGAAACACATCTAATACATCTACACAGGGACCTACCTGGGCCTGGAGACCCCATCAAACACCTCTACATGGGGAACTGGGCCTGGCCTCCCCTATCAAACACATCTACACAGGTACCTGGGCCTGGTGTCCCCCTCAAACACATCTACGCAGGAACCTGGGCCTGAAACTACATCAAACACATCTATGCAGGGAACTGAGCCTGGTGTCCCCCATCAAACACATCTACACAGGGACCTGGGCCTGAAACCACATCAAATACATCTACACAGGGAACTGAGCCTGGAGACCACATCAAACACCTCTACACAGGGACCTGGGCCTGGTATCCCCCTCAAACACATCTACACAGGGATCTGAGCCAGGCCTTCCCCATCAAACCCATCTACACAGGGAACTGAGCCTGAAACCCCATCAAACACATCTACCCAGGGATCTGAGCCTGGCCTGGGCCGTTCCCAAAACCACAGACAGAAATGTGCACACGTGTGCATCAGCAAAATACACAAAGCAAAGCAACAGCACAGGTTACAGTGCTATCCTGGCATAGGTATAAGCAGCAGCCAACCCAACAGAGCCAGCTCCAAAAAATCCCTGTGGAGCTGGAGGTTGGGAGAATGTAAAAAAGCCAGAGTTTATTCAGTGATAAATGCTCATTCTTCTCCATGACTACGAAGAAGAAACTTTGTCTCTACCACTCATGCATCTTGCTGAATACCTAACACTGAATGAGTAACAAACAAACCAGCTTCTGTTGGCACAAACACACTTGTTATTTGATTTGCCTTTGAGTTTCCAGTGTTCTTGCAATGAATTTCCTGAGCCAGGCGTTAGGACACATTCTTTCAGGGCTACACACCAGTGTGGCTATCCACAGCTCATCCACCAGGCATACAGACACAAATCCAAATTCTGTATTTAAAGCCAGTAACAAGCTTAAAATAAAATAAAACTGCTGTATGTGACAGCTTTCAAAGTTTGCCTGTAGCCAGATGATCAATCTGTACCTAACAAATTGCACTGCTTTGTATAAAACACTGTTTGCAAGAGCATTTGCTTGAAATGCAGTTGTGGTATGCAGACTGTAAACATATCATACTAGACAGCAAAAGTCTTCAAACTTCTTTTTCATATAATTATTTAAAATAAAAATGAGGAATAAAAAAAAAGAGCTCAAGCTTACTGACCATATCAAAAAAGCCTTGGTGTTATATTTTGTGTTGAATGGTGATGGTTTCTCTGGAAGAAAGATAACAAATAGGCTTCTTGAAAAAGTGAAAATTGGCTTCTGAAAATGTGAAAATTCTTCTTCTAAGAAGAATCCAAAGGTATAAATAGTAAAGAAGGAGTGGAATGATTGCCAGAGAGGCAGTGGCAGTGATTTTTCAGTTGGAAATGGAAGATGCCCCTTTTGGGATACCCATGTAGAGCCAGAAGGAATCAACAGGGCTTTGCAGAGGTCAGCAATGCTCCTTTAAGGACAGAAGGGATGGTTTTGTACAATTTGAGCCTTTAGATGGTGTGAAGGTGCTCAGTGAGTTCCATGCAGGTCCCAGAGGCCAGGTGTGCACATGGCCACAGTGAGAGCCCTCCTGATCCCCACAGGGCTCTGACGCGCTGAATTTCGGAACTGTATTTAAGCACTGAGCTTAATCAAGGCCTAAATTAGTTTTTAATCAGATTTCCAGCTTTCATTACTCCATTCCTTAAATCTTGCCAAGGTCCTCATGTCCTTGTGATGGGGCAGAGCTCAGTGATGAGTGAGCATTCCCCAGGGCCAGCTCTTGGCAGGCACCCCTCCTGCCCAGCCTGGGGACACCTGCAGGCACTGCCACATCTCCCTGGAGCTGGACATGAAACCCAGCCTCCTGCATGGTCTGCAGCTCCCTGCAGGAGATGCTCCCCTCCCTCCTGCACAGCTGGAGTGGAGAAAAGCACAGTTGTTGGCACCACTGGGATGGCGTGACTGGAATTAATCTCTTGGGTTTATCTTGCTATTGACCTTATGATTCAAACCAGAGAAACTGCAGGGGATTATTCAGGGGGATGTTCCAACAAGGGGAACAAGTTGGCTTTAGATGACAAGGCATTTATATTTCCCCCATCAAATATGCAATTTCTGCTGGTTTATGAACAGGTTCATCTGATTTTTTATTTTTCACAATTTTTTTTTTGGTTTTTTTTTTTTCTTTTTTCTGGCAATTCTCTACAGTAGGTCCAGTGAGATGATAAATCAGACAAAATCCTGGTCTGGACTATGAAGCAAACCTCTTCAGGGTCCTGTCCTCTCCAGAGTCCTGTGCATGGTGATGCCACCTGCATTTCTCTGCAGATTCCACCCTCTGGCCTGGCAGTGCCAAATCCAGTGCTTGCCCCTGATCACTGGTGGCTGCTGGGACACAAATCCTGATGCAGAATTGCTGCAGCTTTAAAAAAACACAAACAAACACCTCTCTCACTGATACACACTTTGGAGACACAAACAATCAGGTGGGGCAGCTGATTTGCTTTTTCCAAGTAACAATTTCTTTATTAGATAAGAAGTTAGTTCAACATAGTTGCACATAAAATTAGCCCAGCTCATGGGTATAAAAACATAGATATCTGGTGAAATATTGGGAGTTTTACTGCTCAAGTGCTCATAACACCTCCATGTCCAACAGGTTCTGTGATGTAGCTGGGACTGTGGACAGTGACAGAAATCCAAACCCTGACTCAGTCTAATGTAAGTTCCAAAACACAGCCCAAGAATGTGCTTTAACCCCCTGTAAGTTCCAAAACACAGCCCAAGAATGTGCTTTAACTCCCTGTAAGTTCAAAAAAACACAGCCCAAGAATGTGCTGAATCACAGAGTTCAAACAAACAAACAAACAAACACCAGTGCTTGACAGGAGCTGAGTGTTTGAATATCCAGCTGAATTTGGACCATCACTCCTATTTCTGATTTTAACTTAAATCTCCTCTAATAGCTGGGTCTGGGCTGCACCAGCTCTCCCAGAAAATAAGCCCTGCATGATTCATGGTGTTACAGGGGAGGGAAAAACATGTTAGGAGGAACATTTAGTGCCGGCGTAACTCAACTGAGTAACACATTCAGAACAAGCAGTTACAATTAGCAGATCCTGTTGTTGCCAAGATCGAATCATTTCCTAACCAGAATTAATTAAAAGAGCAGTTGAGCTGCCTGGCACCCAGCTTCCCTGACTTCAAAGCCTTTTCCCTGGACCTACATCCCAGACAGAGCAGAGGGGCAGCCCCCATCACCCAGGGGATGCAGGTTGTGCATCCCTCACCGATGCACTGCATCTCTCCTGAAGCTTCTAATGGCTGCTCTGGCACAGCAACACCTCCTGGTGTGGTAGGAACCTGCAAAAAACCCCATCCTGCTGCTTTTTGGGGGAAATCAGGAATTGATCCTGCTCTGCAGCCCAGCCTGTGGGAATCCTGTGAGAACACAACACAGGATGCTCCCACCTGGACCCAAACACAGAGAATGACTTTTGATCAGGGGCTAAATGCAAATTTTCTGTGATGTTGAAATCCCACCGAGGGGTTGAGACCTTTTTCCTGACCTAACTCTGATTTCCTCAGGGGTTCTGCAGCCTGTTCCAGGTCTCTCTGCAGCCCTGGTGCCTCCCAGCTCTCCTCCAGCTGTTTCTCCTCTGTGACTTTCACCAGTTCCTCTGGCACACAAGCATTACATAAGATGGACATGTTATTATCCCAGCAATTAATTTCCTTTAATTTCATTGGTTTTGTATTTTATTATTTCAACCTACTCTTAGAACTCCTGAAATTTGCTTTCCACCTGTCTTTGCATCCAGCCAGTAACATTCATACCATAAAGTTACCAGGTTGATTAAGCCACAAATTCATTGAGGGAACAGTGTTTTATTTTAGGAGCAAATTGTAAAAGAATTCAGGGGCTGGACTGCATATGCCATGTATTAATTATAGCAGAACTATTTAAAACTTGCAGTGGTCAACAATTCTATTTCAAACACACCCAAACACTGTTGTGCAGTTATTTTGATCAATTAGGCACATCTGCTAACACAAATTACACTCAGCATGTCCCTTCTAGTTTTTTTTCTCCACAAAAGCTTTTCTCCTTCTTTTTTTGGTTCAGAAAATTATTTTAATACATTGCAGTAACCTATAAATAATGATGAAAACGTAAAAGGTCAAGGAGAGGAAGAAGTACAGCACATTCCCAGTTTTTACTTCTACAAGTAATAAATTATTAGCCACGTGTTGAAGTTCAAACTGATAAAGGGCTGATATAAAAGTCATATTTCCTAAGTGCACTCCAGTTTCTGCATGGTAAAATGAAGATATTCCAGCCCATTTTACTGAAAGTGTTTAATTCCTTCCTGTGAACTTTTTATTTTGGTAGCAATGGGGCTTTCCCCCCTTCCCTGAGTGCCAGCCATGGCACAACACCCAGCAAAGTCCTGAGGAACAGGCTGCAGATCTGCTGGGCAGGCTCCAGTCCCTAATTTGCAATGTTAGGATGAAACCTAATGCTCTGGGTTACTCTGGTTTGTTCCTGGATGATTAAATGATGCTCACAAGAAAAAAGATGAAGGGAAAGAGCTGAGGTGTTTCCCCTCCTCCTGTGCTCCCGTCTTTATCATTTCACTTGTGATAGAAGACAGCTCTCAAAAAACTTATTTTCCCCA